GAGAGAGAGAGAGAGAGAGAGAGAGAGAGAGAGAGAGAGAGAGAGACATATGTGTTGGGGTGGATTAGGCTAGACCTGGGGGGTCAGGGCACACTGTGTCAGGGAGCACAGTCTCGTGGAGATGTAAGGTGGGACAGGCAGGCGATGGGAGGAGGGCAGAGTGACTCAAGTTCTGGCCTGACTGCAGAGTTCGGGGAGGAGCTGGGATGGGAGCAGAAATGGAATCGAGACACATTCTTTGTGGAATGGCCAAGACTTGGTGACCGAGTGCCCTGGCATGAACAGATGAGGGCAGGAGGTGCTGCTCAATAGAAAAGGGTGCTGGAAGGGGATGGCTTCCGTGGGCCATACGGGGTAGGTGCAGGTGCCCGCTGTTGTGCCAGTGGAAAGCTCAGGAGGCTGCTGGACCTACAGGCTGACGCTCAGAAGGGAGAGCTAGATCAGAGGTAAAGCTGCAGTCACTAGGGTGACCCTGTGAACCTGATGCTGCGGACTCTGGTGGGAGGGAGGCTTTCGACCTGCTGATAGGTTCGCTGCTCACCTTGTCGCACCTGCTTGTGACCCAGATGCTGGGCAAGAGCAATAAAGCAAAGCCCTGTCCTCCCTCTAGTGGGGTCAGCAGAGGAGAAACAAGAAACAACAAATAAGATTTGGGAAAGGAGGCAAGTGGCGGCTGATTAGTCAGGTCTCTGCCAATCCCTGGCTGCGTGGGTCTGGAGCTCCGCCCCTTCCTGGGGCAACTGCCTGCTCTGCCTGGGCTGCTGGAGCCCAGCCACACGGCACATAGCTGAAATACCTGTCAGCTTCCTCCAGTTTCCTGAGATAACGTGAGTTGCTGCCTCTTGTAACCTGGAGAGCTTAACACACCCACAGCGCTTCTGGGTTCCACGGGGCTGACAGCCAAAGCACAAGATAGTCAGACACCTTGACCCCACCTAGCGTGTGGCGGTCAGTAAATGCAAGGCTATTGACCAGGCCCTTCCTGTAAGCCTCAGCCACAAATGACTTCATCTGAGCAAAAAGCCGACTTCAGAACAGGTAGAGCGCTCTGGGCACCCTTCCTGCTCTTTAAGTGCTTTGTCAGATGGGTCAGACCACAGCATCTGTGGGAAGTACCTGGGAGGTGGAGGCAGAAATGACCTACGTGGAATGCAGATATTTTTTGATTGATTTTATTATTATAGGAAAACTCCAATCTTATTTAGTCCTACCATCTAAAATTTTAAATGTGAACTTTAATTTTCCAGCCCCAAATGATAATTAGGAAGATCACTGATGTAGGAAAAATGCTTATGGTATGATATTAAATGAAAAGAGCAGAATGTACATCTAGAGCCACATTATGATCAAAATTCTATGAAGTTCGTATACAGAAACGAGCAAGGCCTGATTGGGCAAAGCACATGGGGTAAGGAAAACTGTCTCTTTGTGTTCTATGGGAAATTAAGGCACAAAGTAACTGCAGACAAAGAATCTAACACAATTGTTACGTGGCTGCTCCGTTAGGAAAGTTTATGAGGGAAACCCAGTACAAAGGAGAATAGGTTTTTTAGAAAACAACAGCTTTGGCAAAGACAAATTGAGTCAGCCTCCTTGCACTAAGTCCCCAAGATGACAGACACCAAGTTCTTGGCGGGAACACAAACTTGAGAGACCCTGATGTGAGGACAGGAGCTGGTGGGAATGGGATGGAACAGAATCCATGCGTGTGGGCAGGAGGAGCCGACAGAACACTCAAAGAAGCAAGTCTGAAAATAGAAAATCAAACTGATCAAAGTCCAGGCTGCAGTTTTCACATAAATTCTTGAGTCAGTGTGGAAATGACATTCTGGGATGTCACCTTACACCTAAGAAAACAAAAGTGGTGTCCATCCATCTGCTGACACCCGAGGAACAGAGCACCCTGGGTACTGAAGAGCCCATCTACAGTGAAGGGGGCACCTTGTAAGCTCTGGTCAGTCTTCAGGAAACCCCTAGTCAAATACAAACTTTGGCAGAAAATCCTAAGGCCAGAATTTACAAGAGTGCAATGGATTCCTAAGATGACAAAAGATGAGAACAGAGAAAAGCATTCCTGGCTGTCCCCCCAACCTGCTCCACTCTACAGACGAGAAAACAGAGATCCAAGCAGGAAAAGAAGTATAATCAAGATCTAACAAGAACATGGTGTGAGACTGGGTCTACTGGCTCCCTGTCCAAAATGCTTTCACCTGTCCCTTGTTTGTTGTGGCTTCTATTAACCTAAGCTCAAGGGAAGACAGCAGACATCAAGGTAGACATGAAGTGGGACATGTACAGGTGCCGATGGCATTCAGGGAATTACTGGTAAGAGCAAACATGCAGCTTCCACCAAGGGGAAGGTGGCGGTAACTGGTTTTCTTGTCACACATATGTGGTTCCTGATTTTCTGATTAAAGTGTCTCTAGGAGTGAGGTGGGACCCACATGATCATGTCCACCACCCCCTAAGTAGGTCTAAGTCACCTGGGAGCCGAGAAATCACAAACAGAATTGCAGGCTCAAGACACTGAAATCTGCCTCACTTTTCTAAAATAAGGACTTGGGAACCTTCACCTCTTAGAATAACTAACAAGTATTATTTATATTTTAACCTTTAGCTCCTTTAAAAGAGTTATAGCTAAGGGGACTGTCAGCTTTGACCCTCCAATAGAGACTGGCCAGAGGTCATTGATCCTGAATAATCCAGAGAGAGGGGCTACTCCTTAGGTCCCTTAGGCAGCACCAGCACACATAGGGAGGTGGCATGTCTGCTGTCTGCTAGGTGCAGCCTTCTGCACCCAGAATTCACAGCTGCATCCAGTGGTCACGCGCAGGGATTCATGTGTGGAAAATCAGGCTCCTAGGACTCCCTGGTTTTCCTGAGGAACTGGCGCTGCCTGAGACCTGCAATTCCCCAGATCCCATGTCCTGTCAGTGGGCTGCAGGGCCAGGCTTACCTGGAACGTCGATCAGTCTCTTGTAGACATTCAAGAAGGCCGCCTCAGCTTCTTTGCTTCTTTTACTCAGTGCATCAATCTGAAAGGGAAGGAAGGAAGGAAGATAAAGAGCTCAAAATTTGTCAAAAGGAAATTTAAAAGTCATTCTGAACCTTGTGAGTCCCCACAGCAGATGGAAGTGAGATTCTCCCTGCAGACGCTTTTCCGCCAGCCTCAGCCTCTTAGAGCAAGTACCCACAGCCTCCTGGGAGGAGGCAGTCCCCAGGGGCCAGGACCTGAGGGTAATGGGCAGGGCTGAGGCACTGGGTGGGGCTTCCCATTTGAGCCCTTCAGGTCTCTGTCCTCCTTCCGTGTCCAAGCACAGACACAGCTATGACTGGGGCAGGGCAACAACTATCTGGGAGCTCAGGGGCTGGAGAGGGAAACAGCAGGTCAACAAGCTAACCTCTGCCAGGGCAGAGCCGAGGGGACATAGAGAAGGGGACACTAAGGGAAGTTGGGGACTTCTGACCAGAGTCCTCAGGAACAAGTCACCAGGGTGGGCAGGTGGAATGATGCATCAAAGGGCAAGAACACAAACAGGGCACTTCTCAAACTGGGGATTCAGAGATCCTCCTTGAGAATTTTATGTCAGCCAAGGACATCCTCCTAGTGCCCGTGCACACGTGGAGTTATGCGTTCTATCTTAGGACCCACTCGTGTCCGACTGTGTTCCAGCCACAGGACCGGTTAAGAACCCACAGACAGGGCTGTGATGTGCCATGGAACATGGGGGATCAGCCTGTATTTGATGGAGGAACACAGACACAGCTTAGGTCATGGGCAAGGTTCTGATGGTGGCCAGGGCCAATCTGTCCCTGGAACAGACCCAGATGCACTTATTTTCCCCAGTGCAGGCTTCTATTGGTCAAAGAAAGTGAGGTAGGAAACCCCGAAGTGCATGGGACAGGCACCCAGAGTCCCCAACTCCTGGGTCACCTTGTTTAGTGCTTAGCTCATGTACAATCACTGGGACAGCAGATCACTTTTTATACCTGAAGCATGCAAGACTTTACATGCACAAAGTTCACAATGACTCGGGAAAAGGACACCAAATCACATCCTCCTCCTGTCTCCTTGTAGAACTATGCTCTCTGCCTCAGATGTTGTTAAAGAGGCAGCGCCTGTGGCTTAATTACAGAGCCTTTCACCTGAACCAACCCGCAGTCTGTTAGGGGTGGCGAGGCCACCTGATTAAGGAGGGTGAGCAGCTAAGAGGCAGGAGGTGCCGGCATCTGGGGTCTGGGGCAATCTCACAGCAGAGGCGGCAGCAGAAGCCCTGCCAGCGCCCGCCCACGCTCTGCCCTGAAAGTCAATCCAGATCGGGTGTTTAGAACTCAGACCCCTGTTTTTCTCCCATGAAACAAGATTGTGATTCAGGTGTCTGGTGAGGTGGGGTTCACGTAAGGACTTTTAATACAAGACAGGTCTCCCTATATTTTGAACAAAAATCTGTTCCCTTTGACTAGTAGCATTCACACTTTTGGTATAATTGGAAAAATATTTAAAAATTAGAGAAGAAAATTATACTTATTTCTTTCACTGGTGTGTTTTCAATGTTTTTCTAATAAAAATCAAGTTGCATGAAACTCAAGCACCTAGGAAGACTCTAGAGAGAACGTGGATCAGTGGTCGGCTAGGCTTGGGGGCAAGACGAGGGGGGTAGTTGGAAGATGTGGGCTAAGGGGTGTGGGCTCTTTTGGGGTGGTGAACGTGCCCTATAATGGCCCACAGTGATGGTCACCATGTGTGAATCCTCAGAAAGTCAATGAGCTAGACTAAGCGGGTGAATTCCATCTCCATAAAGCTGTTTGAAACGTGTGTGCACTTGAACTCAAAAGTGTACACAAACTTCTGCAAGGTGTTTTCTTTCACTGACGAATCACACATCTTCCTCAGAGCTACTATAGACACAGCGCAAGTCTCTAGCACCATTGCAACTGCCTGGCCTCACACTCCACGTCTGCTGGAGAAGTGGACCTGGAGCCGCCTCTCGGGCACCTGCACTGCCCTCACCTGCCTGGCTGCTCTCACAGCGCCACACAGAGCCCCCTTCACCTGGTCAGGCAAGGCCAGGCCAGGCCCAGTGGGCCCCTTGCTTCCCAGGGACCCCACAATGGATCCACAGGTGACCGTCCCCTCAGTAGGCAAAGGATGGGATGTGGAGACCTCCTGAACTTCCATCCTGGTTGTTCGTGGGCATGTGGGTGGCACACTGGGGATGATGATGGGCTGAACTGTAACCACATCTCCCAAGACGCTGGAGCCTTAGCCCCCGTAGCCGTGAAGGCGACCTTATTTAGAGACAGACTTCATAGGTGACCAAGCTAAGGTCATTATCATGGCCCTCATCCAGTGTGGCCTTATAAAAAGTGGAAACATGGACACAGGGAGAATGTCACGGGATGAGGAGGCAAGATGGTGATGTGCCAAGGACAGTTGGCAACCACCAGAGGCTAGGAGAGGGCCCAGGCTGTCCTCAGGACCCACAGGACCCTGCATCCCTGACCTTGCCCTTTAGTCTCCCTCACTGGGACCCTGAGCCCGTGGTACGTGCTGATGACACAGAGGGACCATGATTCTGAGCCCTCTTCCCTTCTTCCACGATGGCAAGCAAGTTCAAAGCCATTCCCGCGAGGACAAGGGCAGCCAAATGGGCTTCATTAATCAGTGGACTAAGCAGTGCCTTAAGAGATGCTGACAGTTCATTCCACGTGCAGCTGAGTTTCTGCCTGGTGAGACCCTCCCACCCTTCCTGAGCTGCAGAACTGTCTGGAAGCATCTGTCCATTCGGGGAATGCTGACACTCCCTCTGAAGCTTCATTCTCCTGGTTCCTCCACAGATAGGCCCAAGTCTGGGCTCAGGTCTGCCTCCCTCCCAGTTCAGCTTTCCCGTGGGGATTTTCATGGACCCCTCACTGTGGCCCATCATTTCCCGTGTCAGCCTCTTGCTTGCTTGGCATCTCTGTGCACAGAGGACTCACCTGTGCTTTGAGACCCAGTGCAAGCTCCACTTCCCCCTGCTGACACTGCCAGCGTCCCTCTGGCTGGCGGTGACCCCAGTGTGGGGGGGAGCGTGTGCCCAGACACTGGAGCCCAGCTGGCTGTGCATTCCAGTAGCCAGCGCTGGGCGGTCAAAGATGCTAACACAGGGGGAGTGCCTGGTGCCAGCCACAGGATGAGCCATGGGACACCGGCTTTGCCCCACAGGAGAGCATTTCTTCCTCCAGGTGTCCACGCAGTTCCAACCCAGGGAGCGGGGACTCTTGCCTGTGACCCTTATCATTCAGAGAGGGAGGCAAAAAAGAGACGGTGGCACTCATCTTCCTGCCCTGCAGCCACTGCCTTCCTGCCTGCACAGTGCTCAGGGCCAGGGCTGCGATCCTGGGAGGCAGGAGTCACCCAGGGCAACTGGATACTCAAGGGGAGAGAGGGTGACCAGAGAGGCCGGGGCTAAGGTATGAAGGTGTGGACCGCAGAGTCAGGACCCCAAGTCGACACGCGGCTTCCTCACATGCACGCCTGAGGGAGGGTTCTTACGCTACTGTGCCCATCCCCATAGCCATCTGGGACAGGTGGCGAGGACAGAGGTACCGCTGCTATGCAGAACTTGGGCAGATCCAGGCCACTCAGACACTAGCCTTGGCAGAACCTGTCCTGCTTCAAGAGGGCCCCGCCTGCTCCACACTCCAGCCACACCCGGTCACTCCCTGTTCCCTGAATACCCCAGTAATTTCCACTCAGCCTGGAAGGCGCCTCCTTGGAATGTCCCCTGATCTGCAGGGTCAGTGCAGATCCACCTCCCAGCGCAGGCTGCTCCTGCGACCATCCTGTCCCCTGAATGCCAGGACCACAGAGAAGGCTCCTCCCCCAGGAGATCCCAAATTCCTTGAAAGCCCAAACCAGACTGCATTCCCAATGGCATACCCTCCCAGGGGCTGCGCACAGTAGGGGTCTGACACATTTCTATACTGTGAATGAAAATCCACCTCCACAGGCCAGAAGTGAACAAATGGGTTTAAATCTTCATAAAAATGTTCCAGATGTAAAGAGCCCTCTGTCCTGAGCACCTGCTTCCTGTGCGGTGGCCTGATGGCCTGTAGGAAGCATCTTTCCTATGCACCGCAAGCCCCCCCCCCCACCCCACAGTGAGTAGAAAGGCCTCAGGCCAGCAAGTGCCTAGCAGCTTGTATTGCACAATTCTTGGACAATGTCACTTTCACAGTGTTGAGTGTGGCTTTTTGTGTAATTTAAATACAAGTGTCTACATGGAGGTATTCTGTTCAAATCTCATACAATCCATGTTTGCTGACGGTACTCTAAACTACCCGGAATCCAGGTTGGCAAAGCTCTGAGCTTTAAAGAGGTAGGACAGTGCCTGAGTGTCTCGGTGGCAGCAGAGCTGAGCTGTGGGGTTTCAGGAGTCACGCGGAATAGGTGTTGCTGCTCCCTGTCACAGCCCACCTGCCCTGTGAGGGGTTTTACACAGCTATGACCATGTGGGAGCTTCTGTGCCCCGCTGAGGTCAGGCGTGGTCATGTGAGATGCTCTGGCCAAGGGCAAGAATGCCTACGCCAGGCCTGAGCATGGATTCAAGAGCCACCCCCTGGTTCCGCCTTAGTGCCCATCTCCATTGCTGCGAGACCAGGAGTGGCTTCTTCCACTGGGACTTGTGACAGTAGACAACGCAGGTCCCAGGCAGAATCGCATCACCCTGCAGCCAATGTGACCAGAGACAGTCTTTTATTGCCACTGGCTTTGGAGATGTGGGGTTGTTTATTACTGCAGCAGATCCCAGTGAAGGCTGCACTGCAGGGCCCCATCTGCCACAGGCCATCTCACGAGACCGCGGCATGAAGTGAAAACAAGGGACAGAAGCCAATGAGGCCCAGGACTTTGGCTTATTGTTTACTCTGCAGCTTGCCTGCTTACTCCTGTGGGGCAGGGAGCGGGAAGGTGGTATCCTAAGGCAGAAAGGGCACGGGCTTGGGACGCAGGGCACTGGCTTTTGCTCCAACAGCACCTGGAATTCTGGGCCAG